GTGGCTGTGATGATGGGCTCAAGTATAGCAGGGATTGTGGGGCTGGTGCGGGATCGGGCAGTGTTTCATTCTGCTGTGCATGGGGTAGCTATGAGTCGGAAAAGACTCGACGGCACTTAACAACAACAACATAGATGTGCTTCCTCACTTTCCCTGCAAGATTAATCTCCTCACAACGAGGATGTGGCTGGGAGCTGTTCCTTCCTGAGGCTGTTGTTGCTATTGGTGTCACAAGACACCGACCCTCACAAGCCCCCGAAATGGCCCTTTAAGAAATGGTACTTTTGCTACTGTAAAGCTCCTTTTCATTTACATTCATTTCCAATGCATACACTCACACTTCCTTCACTCAGTAAATAATACTGATAAGGCTGTGTGGTATTTGAAATCTATAAATTCCAATATACTGATATTATATGCATTTTACCACCTGCAATTATATCTTGTGATCTATTATTTCTTTTTTTTAAAATGTAACTTCTATTTGTCTATATAGAAATAGAAAAATACAAAAAAAAAAGCAGAACAAAGAAAACAACAGATCCATCATGCCACAACCCAGACATAGCCATCTTTAAAGTTTTTTTTTTTCTATTTCTTTTGCTTTTTTCTAAATGCCTATGTAAACTTATTTTCCATGAGGGTGTCTAAGACTCAACTGTTTTCATTCATGTGCCCTACATCTCCAGTTCAGCTTACCTGAGGTCCAGTCACCAGGTGTGGTGAAGGTACATCCAGCTGTGCACTCAGTTTGGCCGTAACCTTCATAAACCTTTAAGCAAAACATGGAAAGCACACCATGAGCACACATCTTCTTCAAGCTGCTAACTTTCCTTTGAATATCTGACTGTCCCATGCTAGGGACAGTGGAGGGGGAGGAGCTCTGGAGGTAGGTAACTTCAGGTAAGTGGAACACAGACAGTTAAGTGTAGCCATGTATTCTTGGAAGAAGTGCAATTTTTATAACATATGGTAGGTAATGTGTGGTTTGGGGTAAAGATTACTGACCTATTTTCAACTATTGACTCTATTTTTCATTTGGATAATATGTATTGAAAATAAATATTTTAAAGTCCACTATATAATTTACTTAGGAGCTCTGGTAGCATAGTGCCTAAGGCACTTGACTGCTAACCAGAAGTCTGGTGATTCAAACCCACCAGCCACTCCTCGGAAGGAAGGTTGGGCAATCCTACTTCCGTAGTGATGCTGCCTCGGAAACTCAAGGAGGGGTCGCTATGAGTCGAGGCCGACTTGACGGCAAATAACAACAACAACAACATATAATTTACTTTATTTCTGTAAGATATTCCTCTTAGCATTCCACTTGCTTGCACAAATAAATAAGTGGAGAGTCTTTTTTTAGAAGTGGTCAAGCCATGATAGTATGGACTAGGAGAGCAGTGTAAGAAGCCCACAGCTTCTAAAGGACGAAAATTCAGGTGTGCAAAATTATGAAATAGATGTGCCTACTTTACTTATAACCCATCAGCCACATTATTATACCTTAGTAAATAAAATGGATAAATGACGGAACGGACATTTTAGAGATAGCAAAACCTACTGAATCAAATGACAACACACAAATGAATTTCATCCCCTCCCCTGAGTTCTTTTTCTGGGCTGAGAGATGTTTCTGCAGGCTGGAGAATATAGAGATGCCATAAAGGGGAGGTATGGGCTCTCCAGCACATTGATGGCTCATATACAGTTTACTGATCACTTTGCTCTATGCTGAAAAAAGGGCCCAGGTAAAGCTATTTCCTCAAGTGTGGATACTCATGGGTTTTGTAAAACATGTTCTATCCTTGCAGAAGGGAGCTTTTATCCCACAAAAATCTTGCCCCTAGGATTGGTTTTCATGTAGTAGAGGGTACAATCGTTTTCTTGCCCTGCCCTAACACATCCCATTATCCTCAGGAAAAGCACATAGTGATAATACCTGGCACCCCAGAGCTGCCCGGAGGAATCCTAGGACAGCTGGTGATGCAGGAGCTGCCCCAGTGACAATCATCCTCACCCGTCCACCAAGACTGGCCTGTGGGAAGAGAGAAGAGCCTGCCAAAGTTTGCAATGCATGAGGTGGAGCCCAAACTACCTGGGTCTCATGCAACAACTGAAACCTGCCTAGACCCTTGGGTCAAGGTCAGAGAGAAAGCCTGAGATTGTGCACCACATGATCTGAGTGAGTCCTTCCCCTTTAAATGCATCAAAACAATTGGTTTTGCAACTCAACCCACAATATGACCAACTCTTTTATATTTTTTGAGATAAGTGCTATTAGTCAGGGTGGCATTCTGTAATTTTGGTTCTCTTTTCAATATGCTTAAAAAATACACAGCTATTTCCTCACTCTCCCATCATTCACAAGCATCTATTAACAATTACTTAGGACAATTTCTTCTAACTTATATTTTAAAAGCATTGCCATTCTTCAATTCTAAATCAATACCCTTATTTATTTACCATGCATTGCAGAGAACAAAGAATACTGAAAACACTTGTTTCTGTAAGTTGAGCCAAGAGAGTTTAAATATTAATTTCCATAGCTAAAAATAGAGTGGCAAGAAAAATGAGTAACATTACTAATTAACTACAGATTCCTTGGGCAATGCAGAGCTTGAAAATTTTAGTTGGGATATAGAAGTGAGTAATTTATGATTGACCTGGTTTGGGAGAGGTTGATGAAACAGGAAACAGGAAGGGAAAGAAAATTCCTGGCTACCTGAGTAGAACCTAAAGCTGCTGGAAAGCCACCCTGGCTAGGGTTGAAAGAAGGGGCAAGGGAACCTTCAGGTCCCAGAAGCCCCTCAGCAGAGAATTGACCTGACCACTCAAGGGCAAAGCTGCCTCAGATGCCAGTGGAAGCCAAGAAACTCCAGAGTCCTTCTCATTGGCTGCTCTTGGCAAATATAATCCACCTCTGAAGAACACAATAGATTTAAAATTTTAGTGGTAGTTTAAGCTTTAATTTTCTTGAGCAAATAAATTATTGCATTCACTCTTCTCTTATTGACAGGTTAGGCTCCAAAGACCAAGCTGTTATGTGAAAATTAGCATTAAGCAAAAATAAAAGATGCAACATCAGATCATAAAATGGAAGATGACAACATCATTACATAACAGTCAAATTATATCATTCATAACTGGCAAACCACTGAGAATCATGGCCCCAGCCAAGTTGACACATAACCTTAAACATCATAGCCATTGTTACTTTCACCTCAGCATTCATAATTGCCAGATATACGTTGTTAATGAGTAAAATAGTCAGATAGTAGATTTTTTACTATTGTAAATGTGAAATGTTGGGTGATAAGATAGTCAATAGATGAGGAGTATATGTATTTTACAAGATTACAGGCCACTGGAATGAACTTCTTCAGTTCTCCAGTAAGGTTATCCACTGGACACTTAGGTGTCACTCAAATCACTTACTCATTTTCTTACCTGAATCTTATTAAAGAAGAGTTCATCCCAGATACTATCGTTTCTGATGATTCCACTCCGGACCTCAGCCTGTTTACGCTTTGCCACAAACTCCAGGACCCAGCGCTTTAATGGTGTGTTTGCCTGGCTAAAGATCTGAGGGGCATAAGTTGAAAACAGCTGTTGGGACTGGATGTCCCACCTCTAGACATACTCCTAGGAATTAGGCGAAAACTGGAGAGTAGGAAAGCCACACTCCATATTATCCCTGCAGGATTCAATGAATGTGTGACATTGTACTGAAGGTTAATACAGCCAAACTACAGGAATGCTGAGAGATACAAGTCCCTGAGCAATCTCCCAACCAGGGCTTTGGAGAATACGGAGAAATAGGAGAAGGAAGAGTGAGAAAGTCAGGAAATACAATAGAGGAGGCAACTCCCAAGACCTGGTGGTACAACAAATGCAAATGCAATTCACTGCCATGGAGTCAATCCAACTCAAAGCAACCCCTCCTTGGCTTCCGAGGTGGTATCACTATGGAAGTAGATTGGCCAACCTTCCTTCCAAGGAAGGTGGGTTTGAACCACCAGCCTTATGGTTAGCAGTCAAATGCCTTAGGCACTACGCCACCAGAGAGAGGCATGGAAAGCAGGCCTAGGCTCCAGCTCCCACCTCCATGCCAGATCCTGCTCATAAGTGCAGATATACAATCCCTGAGCCAGGCTAGAGACTCCCTTAAGGGCTCACCTTATCGTACATCCTGTTCAGCAGTCGTGGGACAACAGGGAAGATGGTGGGGCACAGAGCCTTCATGTCATCTGAGAGGAGGCGGATATCTCCCTGGAAGAAGCCGACACGTCCTCCATGGCAGTAAACAACAGACTGGAGGGAAAGAACATGAAAAGGAAAAGTCCCTCAGAGTGGGCACTCCTAGCTGCAGCCCAGAGCCATCAAAGTTCTGCCCTGTATGGAGGGCACCTTAACTCCCTGACCTAGCTCTGGTTGCTGCTGTAAGACACTGGAAAAGCCCATCTGAGGCAACTTCCCACCTCACCACCTTCCCACTAAGTCCCACTCATGTACAGGGAGAAGCAGCAGGGGATCAAGTGGAGTTCCATTTTGGGGAGATGCCAGAACAGCCAGTCTCATGGTGCCTGCCCCTCATGCCTACTCCCAAATACTGAGTCTGGGCCACCCAGGGCATCCAGGTCTCTGAGATGTACTGTACCTCATTAAACGATCTGATCCATTCTCAGAGAAGGCACTCAGCACCTACTAGTACTAACGATACTGCTCAGTCAGGGGGAGAGACCGCTTGAGAGGGTAGTGTGGGCTATGGTCAGCAGCTTTGCTAAAGCTTATATGAGTGGTCCCTAGGAAAGCCTGGCTTGTTCCTGATGGGACCAGGAGCACTTCAGGGCTTCATACATGCACCTTTCTTTCATGTTCACAGCAACTCTATGAGGGATGTAGTATTTCTAATCCCCATTTTATAGGTGAGGAATATGAAGCTTAAAGAAGTAAAGAGACTTGCCCAAAGTCATACAACTAGTTAACAGGAACTGCTAGCATTCTAATCCAGGTCTAGAAAGTATGCCTTATTATACCAAACTTCCCTAGGGCAAAATGGAAAAGACACAGTTTATTGACTGTGGTCCCTTGAGTGATACATGCATGGAGAACTCTCTGGCTACACAACCATGGTGTGTGCTTCTGCTCTCTCCCAAAGGCCTCTGTGCCCCCACAAGGTGAGACTCATTGCTAAACATTAACACCAATCTCCTTCGACAGCCTGAGGAGTCATACAGTTTGATTTACTGTTTTGTTTTCTTTGTAGGAGATTGTGAGTTATTGAAGTTATGGAACATAAATTTTTTTGTCCATAAATGGAGCCCATACTGTACTGAACTTGAAAGTAAAGCATTTTTGCAAAGCTGAAATGCTCTCGCGGTGGATGGCATCAACTGGAGCCCCTCTTAGCTAAGGCATGTGCATGGGCAAAACAGGGCAGGCGTGAGGTCTTCCCTGGAGCAATGATCCCAGGAGGGCCAAGTATGGTGGCCAAGGTGCTCTGACCCCTCTGACTCCCGTGGTAACTTCTGAGGACAGGGCAGTTTAGTTCTACTTCAGGCCACCAGTGACACTCTGCTAAGGTTATGGGTTCTGGGCACAGACTGTGCCTCCCTGATGCAAGGGCCTTACCTGCACCATTCGCTCAAACATGTGTGCTAAAGGCAAATAGGAAATGTGCACATCCGCACAAGTGGGAGCCCACTGACTCTGTAAGAAAAGAGAAGGAGCCCAGGCAAGGCCCGGTCAGTCAGGCGGGCGTCTTACCTGGATTACTCTCTCAAACATGTGAGCCAGAGGCAGGAAGGAGATGAGCACATCGTCCTGTCTCGGAAAGATCACTTTCTGCAGGTGACGAGCATGGGAGACAGAAAGGAAAGAAACACTGACAGGAAGACGACAAGAGAATCATAAAACAATAAAGAGAAAATGGTCCTGGATGGGCAAACAGGGAGAGGGGAGAAGGGAATGGGAAGGTCAGGATGGGAGGGACAGAGAGAGAAAAAAAAAAAGTAAGAGAGAGGAAGACGAAAGGTGCAGAAAGATAAAAGAGACAGAGAGAGGGAGAGAAAGAGAAAAAGAGAGAGAGGATGATGAAAGGCGCAGAAAGAAGAAAGAAACAGAGAGAGACAGGGCAGCGCAGGAAGCCGAGTGTTAGGTCGCAGCGCCAGTGGGTCTAGGTTATCTGCAGAAGCAAAGAGCCAAATGAAGCACACATAAACCAGCGGAGTTGGGCTCCGCAGGGAAGTCTCCTCCGGGAGGGCCTGCCTCTCACTCAGTCGGGTGCCAGCCGGGCTCTCTCCTCTCCCCACAAAACTGCAGGATTCCACCCAGGCCCCATCTTACTAATCTCCCTGAGTCACCTACACAGGGATTTAGAGGGTCTTGGCTTCTTCTAGGAGCTCTAGGTTTACACTGACTGTGGCTGAAGTTCAGAGAAGGCAGGGCAAGGCCAAGACTCAAAGGGGAATGGGTTGCTCCGGTTGCTATGTCCACGCAGGGACAAGCACAAGGCCTTTGGGTGTTATCTTTTGCTGGGCATCTCTCCCCCTTTACCTCCCTTTGTTCTCCCTTCATTCTCTTGGAATAGCTTTTGGGTGAGTTTATACAAGCCCTGGGTACCTGGTTCGTGGCTCCCAAACTGGGCTCAGCCAACCAGCCCCCTCTGACCATTTTCTACCAAAATATATAACTGTTTGAGGCATATACTCCTTAAGATCATCTAGCAGGAATGTGGAGAATGATTTTCTCCACAATGGAAAAATAAGCCCAACTTACGTAAGAAGGTGCATTCCTTTCTCCTTAAAGGAACCACAGAATATTCTAATACTCACCACTTGTGGAAAAAGGTCCTTTTTTCTTAGTCCATTATAAAACTGTAACATGCTTTTTTTTCAGGACAACATATAAAGCTTTTTACTGATTTCAGATTTACCTTTAAGAAAGGCCTTATAAATTGGTAGTTGCCATTGTTTCTCTGACTCTAATAGTCCTTAAATGCAAAATGACTGAATTAAACCCTATACTACTTGAAAAACAAAGATTATTATGGGTTACTTTTAAAATAAAGAGACACACAAAACCATGGATATATTAATTTTTGAAGTTAAAAATTGAAAGATCCATTTTTTTTTTTCTGAGATATTGGCACTCTTAGAAATCAACAGAATATTTATAAGTTGTAGAGCATTTCAGTGTTTGGGCTTCAAAATGGTCATAACACTGGGGTTGCTCTAATATGAACAGAAACTACTAACTGTAAAAGGCAGCCAAGATTAAACAGGGGGGGAAAAAAACAACTCTGAGGATTGAGGTTATCAAGAGACACCTACATTAGTGAGTCTACTATATTCACCTCTGTCACTTTGAGAAAGCCTGAGAAATCAGCCACCACGTTTCCATGGGTGAGCATTGCACCTTTTGGGTTTCCTGAAAAGAGAAAGTGAGAAGGTGAGTAAGTTGGAACCTCAAGGGCCACTCTTTGAGAATAGTGTCCTAGCCAGTAGTCCCAGACACCAAGCGCTGGCCACCTAAGCCTCTGGCTTTGTCTTTAACCATCTTCAGAGCCCTAGGCAAGCAGATGAATTCTCCTCTGGGATCTCCATCCTGCAGACACTCTAGGCCCAGCATGAGGCTGCCAGCAGCTTGGGCCCACGTAGCAGGAGACCTGGCTGCACAGGTGGGGTAGCTTAAGGGTTGAAGAGCTTCCACCTTACCTGGCCTGCACCTCACTCTCTTTCCTCCCTCAAGAGCACAGGCTCTCTGTCCCTTAGGTCTCCTCTCGCATACACCCAATGCCCTAAATTGCTCTCTGGGCCCGAGAAGAGGTGGTCTGTTGACTCTATTAGCCAAACAGTTCTACTGGCAGAGAGCTTCTCTGCTGCATACAGTCTCCTGGAAAGGCCCCAGGATCAGGTCAGGCTGGAGGTCTAGAGGACTGGGTCAGCCCCTCCTGCTTGCTCACTGGCAGAGATGAGACATGGATGTTCTTGCTTTCTTGGCAGTACTTTCACTAGTGCTCATGAGCTCTAGTCCTCAGGGCTTGTGAGGAAGCTAGGGGCTGTGAAGATGACTCAGAAGACAGAGACTATGTAGGAACCCAGGGCACAGCAGGCTGGGGAGGGTGGCCAGCTTGGCCACAGTTCATATCAGGGTGGACACAACACTGGTGCTGCTGCTGGACAGATCACATTGCTCAAATCCTAGTGTTGCCACTCACTGCCTGCGTAACACTGGCATAGCATCTCCTCTCTGTTTCCTTACCTGTAAAACAGGTAACCAATTCATAGGGCTGTGGTAAGGTTTATTTATATAATGCATGTATAAAAGATGTTAAATTATAAGTTCCTACTTTAGCAACAGATATAATAATGGCTGTGAAGCTCCGAAAATGAGGAGCTAGACCATATGCAGAATTTATCCAGGAAAAAGCAAATAAATCAGTCTGTTGACTTTGCTATCTTCACTCAGGAGAAGGCTATAAAAAGACAAACAGAGTAGTGATTGAGAGTGTTTGTGAGGAGGATTTCTTTGGACAGAGCCACACTGAGTCCTATATGCTGTCAAATGGGAAGGAATGGAGGGTGTTCCCAACAGTAACCTGAAATCCAAGCTAGCCCAAATCCTAATGAGAGGGGCTTTAATGAGATTGCTTGAAGAGCCCAGTGGCTGTAAGGAAATGAAAAGTCCCAGGGTTTGGGTATGAAGTCTACAGAAGTCAAGTAGTCTAGGGAAGTGTGGAGGGGTGGTGGTTTAAAATGGAATCTTGTCTACGAAGGTAGTTTGCCACCAGAGGAAGGCAATGAAGTATATATATCACCTGACGCAGAAGCTGATGTGGAATAGGGAGCAGACAACCAATGAAGGGGCACTGCCTGCATCAAGGGATTGCATGGGGGTGCCCAGCAGAGGAGCCTCCCAAAGACTCATGAAAGCATCCATAAGAGAAAGAGTGAGCTTTAAAAAGTTGCCCCAAACCATCTCCTATCTTTTATATCCCACTTACCTATTCTTCCTCCCCATTTCAAACACGGGGGAAGAGGGCAGAAACTTCCCTAAGCAAACTGGAGGAGAAGAAACACCAGCCAGGAAAAGGGGGAAGGAGACTCACACTCTCCCCAACTAGCAGCAGGCACCTGCTGGTAGCCAGCCCTATCTGGGGAAGGAAGAGACGTCTCAATGAAGAGTGTTTTAGACTGACACTTGTAATTTAGAATTAAGACTGTGTTTATGACCTACAGTGACCATGAGACTTTTTATACCAAGTTAGTGTCATAAAACCTGAGATTTTATCCCAAGGCAGAAAAAGAACTACCCCCACTGAGTAAGTTTAGTGGGACAAACAAACAAACAAAAACAAAACTCACTGCCATCAAGTTGATTCTGACTCACAGTGACCTTATAGGACAGGAAAGAACTACCCCAAAGGGTTTCCAAAGTTGTAATCTTTACAGAAGCAGACTGCTACATCTTTTTCCCACGGAATGGCTGGTGGGTTTGAACCACGAATATTTCGGTTAGCAAACAAGCACTTTAACCACTGTGCCACCAGTACTCCTTAGTGGAACAGAAGGAGACAAAAATAAAGTTGTTCTCATAATTATATCTCATGAGATCTATTTGCTCAACTTACTAGTGACACACATAAAACACTTATTGGTCAGAGAGAAGAGCATCAGTAAAGCCCTCATCTTTGAATTTTGGAGACAGACACATCCCTCAGATGAAGAAGTGTGGTAGGTGGGATTTTAACGTGCACTCTGGTACTTACACCCCTGTTACAAACCACAGAGGTGACTGGTGACACAGGTTACATGATTTTAAGTTACAACGTGTTCTAATAGGTAGTTGTTAACATATTTTCCTTTTGAAAGGAAGAGGCATGAGATCTGTTTTACCTCCGTTTGTCTTTCTTTCATCCCAGCAATTTTCCTCAAACCCAGGCCCATGTTAGGAAATTTCCTTCAGTCATCTCCTATAATACAAATTCCTGGGCCCACAAAGTATTCTGAGTGTATCATCTGGCAATTTTCACCTATGGATTCTCAAGTTCTAGAAGTTTCCAAGGAACATTCCCAAAATACCAGGTGTGAAATCAGAGCTATCATAAAACAGGTCCTGTACTATAGAACCTTAGATTTGCTAGACTGGCCACCTTGCTCATGCCTAAAATAACCTCAAGATGGATGGTTTGAGAATCTCAAGGGAAAGTTGTCTTCACTGATGAAAATTTTCTAAAGCCTCCATTCAGTTCAGACCAAAACACATACAACATTCATAGTGATTTAATTCTGCTTGGTTAGTGAAGCATATTTCTTCACCAATATGGTGAGCAAAGTTGAAATCTTTTAGAAACAAACCTATTTTCTTGTGGATATGTATGTAATCTTATAAACTTCTAATGATTTCTAGAACTTAAAAATATTTCCCAGGTATATTCAAATTATTTCCTCAAGTCATCTCAAGATGTGGTCCCAAAGGATGAAGCAGCAGTGAATGTCCATTGACCACAAATCCTAAAAGAAGACTGTGAGATTCAAGTTGAGCAGCTCAGGGTGAGCCATTGGAAAGGCTCTGCTTGCTCTTCTAAGTCAGGACAAGTACATAACCCTGGCCTGGCTGGCAACATTTCTTTTAAACACAATATAAAATTTCCTCCGAACAGGCTAAGCATTCCTAGGTAGATTTCGGCAATCAGTGAGGCAGCACTGACATTTCCTCTGGTCTCTCCTTCTCTGGTGAGGGGCACTGCCACTCAGGCCCTTGATGTCTCAACAGTATTCCACTGCTCATTCCCCTCCTCCACTCAGAAGCTGAGCATTCTTCCATTTAATTTTTCCTCCAGTTGCTGAAGTAAAAACTCTTAGCTTCAGATTTGACAAATGGCTTTGTGGCTTCAGCCAGTGTTCTGGGTGAGCCGCCTTCTGTTGATATGCAAAAGACATTTTGCTGGGTGGAATTCCACCCTGGTTGGCTGCTGGCTCCAAGTGAGAGGGGCTGTGAGCTGAAGCTGTTATTGAGCTTTCTCCCCCAGGGGTAAAAGTGGGGGTCAAGGCAGCTCCAACTGCTTATTTCCGCCTTTACACAGTCAAAGGTGTGTTACAACAGTTCTACAGGTAACTAAAATTCTCTGAAAGTTTTATAATATAAGTAGAGTGTTCATTTCACCACTAAAGGCTCCCAAATGTTCTTTAGGATTGAGTCTTATACGTATCAACCTCATATCCACCGTTATCCTTTTTTTTTTTTTTTTAAATCAGACTCAGGAGCTAGTAGGAATAGAAATAATAACTATAATAGCAGCCAATTACTGAACACCCACTAATGTGGGCACTGTACTATGCACTTCATTACATAGTAGCTATTTTTTAAAAAGAACTCTATTCATTTAACACATTCACTTAACTGTATTCATTTAACACTCAAGGAAATTGAGTCTTAGAGGGGTTAGGTAATTCTCCTAAAACCACACAGCAGGAGTGGCAAAAGATGTGTTCTGAACATATACCATCATCCTCACAGCTGAGATGTGGTTTTATGCATATGATCAGACAAGTCTTGAACTGAATGACACAAAATGAATAGGTCATGGTGAACATTTCCCCCAGAGAAGCCACTTCTGGGTAGTGACAGCTGTGGGGCTGATGAGTGTTTACATGCTCAGCTAAATGACTGCTGGTGACTGCACTTTCACAGACATCCTCAACTAGAGTGGAAAGGATGCCTCAACACCAATGGCCTCCCCGTCTACCTCAGCTTCCCCAGCCTCACTATCATCACTTAGAATTGACTAGGCCAGCTCCTTCATACTCTTCATGACTCCAGCCGCATGATGCTTCCCCCTCCTATCTTTCTTCTTATTCCTTCCTCCCAAACTGGGCTCACCTAAGCCATTCTCCTGCCAAATGCTTTAGATACCTGGCTTCCCCTGGAGCACCCTACTCTAAAAACTTTACCCAGCCCACTTTTTCTGCTCTTCCCACAACATGGCCCCTGAGGCTTATAGCCTATAGTCCAAGCTTATAGCTTATAGTCCCAGAGGGGCTCTTGGGGCTGCCCAGTGTTTAGGCCTCTCTCGATGAGCTTTCTCCATATTTTACTTTTCACAGAAACTGTCACACTACATCCCCCTGAGATTCTGATCCATTTATGACTTACCTCATCTTCAGGCCAGGACCCTGACTTCTACTCCACAGAGAAGGCAGAAGCCATCAGAAAGCTCCTTGCACCTTCCTGGTCTCCCAGATCTTTTCTTCCTTTTTTCTTCTCTAGTAGGACACATCTCTTTCATGGTGCTTTGAAGCCTCTTCTCTTCCCCGACCCCAACCAAAGCTTTAGGGGCTTCACTCCATTGATTAACTATTACAGTGTTGGTATGAGCATTCTGGAGCAATCATTTTGGTGACACTGCTAAGCTTCTTGAAAGGGTTTGCACATTTGCTGAATGGACATCCACAGTCCTTAGACCATTGCAACCCAGCTTTGGCCTCCACCCCCCACCCTATGACCAGTCTTTGCCCAAAGCACCAAAAGTGCTCTTGTTTATGTGACTACATCCAATGCGTACATCTCAGTCACCAGACAATACTGATAGAGCCTATTCTCTAGCCTTTCTGGCTTCTCCTTCTGAACCTCCATTTGGAATTCCTACCCCCATCACTTCTCTCATGCCAGTGTTGTCCTAACCTGCTCCCAACCCTTTCCTCATTTGACCCTCTTTCAAAGCAATATTTTCTTTCCCGAAGTCTTTTGCACATGTTGTTCCCTCTGCTGAGAATGCCCTTCCCCCTTTCCTCTTCCAGTTATTGATCCTTCAAGACTCTGCTTGGATTTTTTTCCTCTGGGAATCCTTTCTGGCCTAATGTCTCAGATGCTGGATACTCCATGCACCATGAGATAGTTCCCTCAAGGAAGGGACCACATTATATTGTAACTGCCTGATGACAGTGAGCTGTGAGCTCATGAAGGCTTGGCTGTGTCTTGTTCATCTCTGTGTACTCAGTTCCCAATGTGAGGTCTGATGTAGTGTGGGTGCTCAATAAATGAGCTGAATGATTAATCTACATAAGCTAGAAAATGAGGTGCTAAAAGCACATAGACTGGGAATGTTTTAAAAGACCATTGTATACTCTTCTCTGAGAAGAGAAGGTACATGAACTTATAAGGATGTAACATCTTAACTATCATTCATGGAGGCTGATTTTCCAAACTGAGCTACGTTTATACTTGCAAATTATCTGGGGTTTCTTTTGCAGGGGGGTGGGGGAGGTGGGGAGATGGGAAGGTGGAGAGGTGGAGAAGGAAAAGCCCAAATCCAGTCTAGCTAGTGGTTATTTTGAAGTAAACAATCAACCACATGCCCACTCACCAGCCATTACTAGGTGTAGATCCTAAGCTCTCATCTTCTCCCAAGCATTCTTGGCCTGCGTAGGGACTCCAAAGCACTAGTTTATATAGGGAATTTCCACAGACGCTCCTACCACAGGCCAAGAAGAAAATTCCCCTGGAATAATTCTGCCAGAACTATGGGGCAAATGTCATGCTCAGATCACAGTTTTCATTTTTCCCCACCAGAATAACAACGTGGTCCTTGATGAACCTGGGAACCAGGACACCCACCCAGCATGGAAGGGATGCTGTTTCTGGGGCTGTGACTCTGAGAACACATGTGACTAATACAGTTGAGCAAGAAGATGAATATGAGAAGCACAGCACAAACTTAGCCTAAAGCCAAGAGAATCCAAGGGTGCAGCCAGGCAGGGTGATATCAAGAAAGAGGCCTCTGTAGCATAGACCTCATTACCCCAGCTCTATCTGGGCAATCAACCTGGGAAAATTAGAAGGGCAGCATTTTCACAGGGAGACAGCTCAGAGGGCAGGAAGGCAAGGCAAAAGGGCACAGGGAAAAGGTAACCAACCATGGGGAGAAAGTGGGAAGAGAGCTGTTACATTGTGGGGATTCCACTCAATGTCACAAAACAAAATGTGTATAACTATTCAATGGAAAATGAATTTGCTCTGTAAACTTTCACCCAAATCACAATTAAAAATAAAAATGAAAAAAGCCCTTATATTTTTGTTTTAAAAAAACCCAAAAAACCCAAACCCACTGCTGTCGAGTTGATTCTGACTCACAGCAACCCCCATTGGGTTTCCAAGGCAGTAAATCTTTACAGAAGTAGATTGCCCAGTCAAGGCCACTGAAAAATAAAAACTCATGACAAAAAGACTTTGAAGACTGTCAAAAAAGCAATGTAAACCTGAGGGCTTTGGTTGGCTCCTGGAAAGCAAGGGCTGTGTTACGTCTCTTCTCTGATAGAATGAGTTAACACATTTGAGTTAATGGCAAAAATCCATCTTGACTTGATAAAGCTGCATTTATCATCACGCACCACATGGATAGTCTCACTGTGGAGATGATTAATGATCTGCTGAATGCTTTGGAAGCTGGGTCTGTGGAAGCAGTGGGGAGGCCAAGTACACCACTCAAGAGCTACCTTTAAGGTGGGCCAGTCCTTGGTCTAGAAAAAGAAGCTTACAAACTTCTTGCAATTTAGGGCAAGGGTAAGTCACCACATGAGAGGGTAAACCAGTGAGTGTCATGGGAAGAGCATTGGACTGGGAGTTAGAAGAACAGGGCACACATCCAGGTGCCTCCACTTACTCATGGTGCCCCTGAGCAGTCCCACAACCTGCGCACCTTTCAGGTTGTGCTGAGGCCCCAGTGGTGCAATCTGAGGGTGATCAGGGCACTGCAGACTGTGAAGTGCTGTTTGTGGCCATGGTTCTCATTTGCATTCTTCCTCTCCCAGGAAGCCCTCCTTGACTTTTCCTGCCACTGTTGATGCGTGTGCTCCACTGTCAGGGTCAGATGTAGAGTGTGCCATTTCTCTTGCACCCTCTTCCTGACAGCCTGGCCTATACCAGCCTCAGACTGCAGAGCATCTTCCACACACATCATCCCACCATTCCATCTCCTACTTGGCACCTTTAGTCACCCTTGCCACAGGTGAGAAATTGGGGACAGTGGTGGCAGAGAGGTGAAGTGATTGGCTTATAGGCCCCCAGCATACAGTGGAGATGAGATTCAAACCCAGGCCCTCAGACTCCAAACCTCACACTCCTTCCCCAGTCCCTGACACAAAGGCCAGGCAATGGCAGGAAGCAGAGGGGTAAGAGCTATTTCTCACAGAGAATGACCCCCCAGTGACAAAAGTGCTTCCTCCTGCATGTGACCCAGATGCCCAGCCTCCTCTGGCCCCAGCTCTGGGAAGTTTCATGTTCTCACCCAGACCTCATAATACAAACTGCCCATCAGCATCCAGCTACTCTCATCCCAGGCACTGGGAGCACTAGGAGGGACCTAATATCTGAGCCAGGCACAGGGCAAGGCTCAGTCCATTTCACAGAGAGGCCAGACTGCCCAAGGAAGGATGCAGGTGGCCCTGGCTGCTGATCTTGGTGCCTCTGCTTACCTGTTGTACCGCTTGTAAAACACACAATCGAGAGGTCATCAGGATGGGGGGGCTGTAGGGGTAAGAAAAAGCATGTATGAGGGAGAACTAGTATGGCCAACCACAGCCAAAGCTCCTGGGGCGCCCCCACCAGCCAGCCCCTCTATGTTCACCCCTGTGTATGTGTGTTGTATGTAGGCTTGGGTATGTGTTGGGCATGTACTCATGCCCCTATGTGCAGCAGATCAGAAAAGGTGGGCTGTAAGGGGAAGAGAAGCTGAGGAAACCTAACTGGGGCTTGGACATTGATTCACCCCATCAACCTCACATCTGGCCCCACTGCCACCCCCTGTTGTAGCCTGAGCTGAATTCTCTTAGGCAGGATTAGGCTGCAGTGGTCATATCCACTAGAAAGATAGGATCTAGGCCTCTACCAAACATCTCACCTTTCTAGTGAATATGACTTAGTTCCCTCCTTCCTTCTAGTTTCTCTGAAATGTCTGAGGTTAGGTTTGAGAACACAGCTGTGGCCCAGGAATGAAGATGCTCCATGTGTCACCAGGACTGCTCTGCCTTAGGCCCTTGTTCTGGTTCTGGGCATACAGTCCTGGGATCACCACAGCAGAGCCCACCAAGTCCATCTGCACATACAGGATGACTTCTCAGAGGAGGTGACACTTGAGTTGAGATCAAAGGACAAAGAGAATTTTTCTAGAAGTGAGGATGGGCATTCTGGGGAGAGAAAATTAACTTGGGCAATGGCAGAAGGACAAGAAACAAGGACATGTCAAGGGATCAGAGAGCAGTTCTGTGATGCCAGAGTATGCAGTGTAGGGACAGGCTGGCAAACACCAGGGGCTGCCTGTGAGGGGCCCTGGGAAGCAGTGGTGTATGTCAGGAAGCTTACAGGGAGCCCTGAGGGCAACGGGAAGGGTCAAACTAGAGTGAGCACTGGAGGGAAGAGGCCTTGTTGCAAAAATGCAAAACACAATCACTGCCATGGAGTCGGATAAGACTGATAGCGAAAATCCCCAAATGGCACATCCAGGGAGCAGCCACCCTCACTGGAGACTCAACCTCATGCAGTATCATGTGGGTGTAACATGAAGATAAAACAAAGATGAACAAAGACAGCAGGTGCCAAAAGGAAACTGGTTCCAAGGGCCCACTTCTCATTCTGGTGATGTTTCTTCTGTCTATCTCATCCTCTGAAGAGTTCATTATGTTCAAAGGGAACAATAGTACTTCTCAAAGAAGAAGTTACTAGAGAACCAAGAGTGGCCAGGATTAGTTACCTATTTTCTCCCTCCCAAACATCTAAATTCCATTCCAGGTCCTTCCCTAGGCCCTCAGCCATCAAAAGTCCTGCACATCCCAAGCAGGCATTCCCTGAAGGGCTCATAGGAGTTGCTCGTTACTACAGAGAAGCCTGCTTGGGTCTTGCGCACAGTGGTCACTCCATGAGAACAAGCTGTAGAACATACCATCTCGCTCAATAAAGATCTGCTGGCAGATTAGCTTACCACAGGAGCATGATAATTCGCTTGGCCACAGTCCTAGAAGAAGAAAATACTGTTTTTAAATGCTCAAAACTTCTCATGTCAAAAAAAAAAAAAAAAAATCAAAATACTCTTAGCACAGTATGCTTACTCCTGTGCCAAGCTCAGAGATCAGGATGCCCTGCCAAAATGTGGGCCAGTGTGGTAGACATTGCCTCAGTGGTCTCTCCTCAGGCATGCATCTAGGCCTGAGGCTCTTGAGAGGGAAGGGGGCCAGAGGAGACTGCTGCCCAGGGACAGGCTGGGCTTTGCACACATGCACATGGGGGAGATGGCATTCTGGGTTTGAGGTGCTCACTGTATATCTGGGCACATGCTCAGACAAAGCAGCTGGGTGGCCTAGACTTCTGGATGAGTGGTTAGGGCTGGAGGGGCAGATGGGGGATGCCAGTGTAGATGTGGCAACAAAAGCCACAGAGCGTTGCAAGTGAACAGGTATTTGGGTACAGTGAGGAGCAGACAGGGAGTCAGGAAAACTGGAGGGCTCAGGGGCCTAGATCAAGCAGAATAGTGGGCATTTGCTACTATTGATCCCTGGAGGCCAGGATGTCCTATGTCCTAATAGGTCACAAACTGCCACCAACCTGGCATCTCTGGAGAAGTCACGCACAGGAAAAACAGTTTTGTTGGCTGTTGGGGAACTTAGGTGAGAAACACTCCAAGACTCCTAGACCTCATGTCTACAGCCCTCAGGCACAGACAAGCTGGCAGCCAGCTGTGAATGAGGAAGTGCAGAGGCTGTGTAGGCAGCTCTGTGGAAGGCTGGCACCTCCTGCACACCTGCTGGTGCCATCAACTGTTTGGCCAGTGAGTTGGTCCCTAGAAGATGTCTATGGGTACTGCCACTCTACCCCCTACCAGCCCTTGCAAAGCCTGCCCTGTCTCAACAATGGCACACACTGAGGTCCCTAAACATCCACCACAGAGCATAAAAGGGGCAGATAACCAACAGCTCTAACATGGCAGTCAACTAGTCCTGGCCCAGCAAATAGCCCATAAGATGACCCTCACCTCCACAGCCTGCATGGATTTGATGACTACCCCACATTCCTGCCCTCTCTCTTTCAGGGCTTCCTCAAATGGCTCCATGATGATGATCAGCTTGAGCCCTGGAGTCTCCTTCTTCTCCACATGCTCTAGCAGAAGCATGGCCTTCTGGGGTTTATCCACGATTGCGGTGCTGATGTCCGCTGCAGGAGACATCAAGGATACTCAAGCTCCGTGGACACAGGCTGTGACTGTGGGCAGTGGTACGTATCATGGGCTGTGTGTGCCATGGGCTGTGTGTACCACAGGTTGTGTGTAAATAAGTATGTAAGACAGACTACGAGGAGTATATCTTGTATAAAGAGGAATGTGCTGGGAATCCTAGATGGAATCAAAGGCAGAAGGCCTGGGAACCTCCCAGGGTAGATTCTGCACCATCCTTTGCTTCAGGCTCAGCTGCTCCCATTATACAAGACATTTATCCCATCCCCTAGCATCTACCCCAAGCTGCTATGAGCCTCAGAGGGTTGGCACTCTACATAGGAACTAGTTCAGAGGCTCCTTTTTGGCAGCCCAGCTCTGTGGAAGAAGGCTTCAGGTAAAGTATGGCCGGGGTGAGCTGAGACTCAGGAGGCCAAGTCAGGGGCCAAAGAGGAAGCCCCCAGTGTTCTCTGAGAGCAGAAGCAAAAGGCTTCTTATGAGTGTCAGACAGTCAGCATAACTGGAGAGGATGGAGGTGGGGAGGGGGCTGGCTGCTAAAGGTGGGGAGGAGACAGTGGTGGGCTCACCTGTGTTGATGATGTAGTGGATGGCCCCAGGGCCCAGGGTGTCATAGAGTGGGACTACCACCATGGAATATGTGTAGCAGGCCAGCTCTGCGATGATCCACTGTGGAAATATGTGGGGGTGGGGTGAGGGTGGAGGAGCAAAAAGGAGAAAATAGGGTTCTCTAGGTTGTACTGCCTTAAGCTCAGCCAACTGGGTGCGATGTCTGAGTGGGCCCTGTTCTGGCTCTGTGCATGGGGCAAGAAATCCAAGGGACTGATGAGTTGTGCCTGGCTACCTACAGCCTTCTAGACCATTCTTGGACCCCAAGGAGTGCCCAAACAGCTCCAAGCCTGTTTCTAGGGCCTGCATTGGCCTTCTCTCCATGTCTTTCCTCTCCTTGATTGTAGGAGGACAAGCAAGGGTTAACTGTTTGTGGGGTCAGTTGGGAGTGGACAGAACTTGGCTAGGGTGTCTAGTCCTGACAAGGGGCAAAGCCAGGGGCAAAAGGGGGTGATGACATGGACCAAGGGTCTCCATTTGTTCTCTTGTCCTGGACCCTGTAAATAGTAGGAGCAGGACTGTTCCATGGTATTCTATCTGTTACTCCACCGATAACTCTAAAACCAGCCAAAGCAGATGCTCACCTCTGGTCGATTTTGTGCAAAAACGCCAATAAACTGATCTGAAGATGCTTTACAATTGTGCTGAAGAAGTCCGGACCCCAGAAACTCAGCCCTGTCAGCCACCTGCACATGGACATAGGGAAGTGATGTGAAAACAAGGGTTCTTCAGCAGAGGAGGGAGATATTCAGCTGGGATTTCTACATAACTCACCAATTCCCCATCCAGGTAGGTTGGAAGCCCTGCTAGTTGAGAATTGGGCAGACAGACCAGGTAAGTAAAAACTGACCCTCTTCAACCCAGCAGGATGCTTACAACCCTCCCAAGTGCCAGGTCTGTGTGGGCGGACAGTGTAAGGCCTGTCCTCTATCACTCACCTCTTGGTAGGACAGCCACTGGTAAGGCTCTTTGGGCTTCCTGGAGCCAAGGCAGGGCCCATTTCCTGAAGAGAAACAAGCAGGCTTGGCTGTGCCATGGAGGAAGACAGGGTAGGGATGCCACTTGTACCTGACTATTGGGTATCTGGATAGACATCCAGACAGTGAGGTGGTCCATAGGCTGAGGGAACTGTTCCTTAGCCCTGCTGAAACTCAGGAGGAATTAAAGCACCCACACTTGGCATCTCTCCAGGGATTGGGGGAATAACATAGTGCCCAGTTTCCATGACCTGGGTGACATTCCCTACTGCAGCTTCAAAGGAAGATGCAAAACTGGGTGGTGGTGAGGGACTGGATGGGTAAGGCAAGCTGCCTCTGGGTGATACCTCTCTCTACCCCATACCCTGGGGGCACTAGACATCTCAGAAGTTCAGGTTCAGAAGTATGCTGGCTAGTGGCCTGGCAGCTGAAGACTCACCAGGGGCTGTGAATGGGGGCTGTAGGATATAGGCTAAGAGATAGCCTAAGATCAGGCATTCCTAAGGGTTGGAACAAAGCTGAGGTCAGTGCTTCCACCACATAATACAGCTGCTTCTCTGACTGGGTGGGTGGAGGGCCAAAAGTGAGTCTGAACCTGGGCATCTCCCACCTCCCACACACCCAGTACCATGCTTGCCCATTCTCTCCCTTGCACTCACCCAATCTCTCCCATAGGTACCCCATAACTCCTACAGTTCTGCTCACCTGAGATTCTGAGCCCACGGCGGAATACCTGGTACATGGTTCGGGCATCATCATAGTAGTGGGTGAGGAGCTGAGGGCTATCTCCAATCACGGATCGTCGGGCCCCATCACTGCCCTATAAGCCAAGCACAGGCCAGAGAAGCCAGCTTAGACAGACAGGTGACATCAGGAGAAGGCACCAACATGCACCAGACTGTACATGACTTGGATGCACACCTGCTCCACACAGCTGGGGCTGGGATGTACTCTTTGTGCACTCATACACATGACCTATACACACCTGGATTGTACACACATGACCTGACACATACAATGCCAAGTACATGTGGTTTGTACACACTTGACCTGTAGGTATCTCCAGATCAAACTTAGTTGGCTCATGCACACAGGCCTAGTACACCAGTGTCCTACAAACACACATTGGACACATATACTAGCTAAGTCAAAATGTCCAGAATTTACAGGGATTCTTCATACGCACCCATGGTCCATTCATACAACACAGGGGGAATGTGGCTAGAATCTATCCCCTGGCATCAGTATTAATTTGCCAAGGTGTCCCCCACCCCATCAACTGCTGCTATGCCCCTAGGTTAAGATTCATTTGGGTGTCATCTATAGCTAGGAAGTCTGCCACCGTCATTCACATAATAGTGTGAATTACTTTGAGGATTGGGCTGAATGGACTTTCCCAGAAGGAGAGACCTGGCAGGCTGTGAAGGGAGGACAGTCTGATTTATGTTACTGCCTTATGGGGGTGGAGAGGGAAGACAGTGAGTTCTGGGCCCTTATGAATAAGGATCCAAATTGGGAAGGTGCCAAACACATTCTGTGCTGGGGGCTGGGAGACGATCTTGGCTTCTTCTCCTGACCTCTCTCCTTTCCACCCACCCCTCCTCAGACTCCCCAAGCACTTCTGTACCATAGCTCCACCCTTTCCCTTAGCACTATTAGTTTGGGCTGCACTTAGTGGGCCTGGGAGCCCTGGCAGCGTAATGCCTTAAGGCACTTGACTGCTAACCAGAAGGCTGGCGGTTCAAATCCACCAGGCACTTCTTGGAACAAAGACTGTGCAATCTACTTCCGTAGAGACACTGCCTAGGAAACCAAAGGAGAGGTCACTACTCCATGGCAGTGAGTTGGTGGCCCTAGGGCCTGACACCTCTTGGAACACTGTGCCTGAGGAAAAATCTCTGTGAGAGCCACAAAACAAAAGGCCAAACTTAAAACCATAGGAAACTTTCAACTGTTTGAGAGTGGAAAGTTATGTTTGGCCAATGCTTCCTGAGTACCATGCCACGTAAGACCCATGCAGGGAGCTGGGGATTTATACAATCAGACATGGTCAGCACCATGATAGAAATGACACCTCAAGAGACTATATGCCCAGCATAGGCATGTGTTAGGGGGTAGCCAGTGTACTGGGTTTTGAAGGATGCATAGTGATTTGCCAGGCAGACTGTGACATAGGGAATGGCGGTCTAGGTCAAGGTAACGGCAAGTACAAATGCATGGAGAAGGAAACAAAGGTACCTGTGGGGAATTGTTGGCAATTTATGGAGCCCCGGGAGGCAATAGTGAGAGAGGAAGCTAGAGAGGCTGCAGATCAAGGCAATGAGTCTAGACTTTAGGTTGAGGGCAATAGGGAGCCAGGGGAGGATTTTAAGCTGGGATCTGAATTATGTTTCTCACCATGTGTTGCTACCAGGCCATATATGATCTGAGACCCTCTTATCCCTCTCATCTCATTTCCTATCACTCTTCCCTTTGCTTAATTGTCTTGAGTCACTCTGGCTTCCTCACCCCTCGAGGACAAGGATCAGGCATGAGGGAGCTCAGTTTCCCAGGAAGGGAGGCTTTAGTGTCCTATTCTCCCAGCCAGACTCACGAGGTGACTCACTCTGCATGATCCACCTCCCCAACCCAGGGTCACTACCTCATCACTCCTTCTTGCCACCCTGACATTATCTACACCGTTATCACCTCCATCCCAGTCACCTACAGCTGCCTCCCACACCTGCCCCTGCCATGGCCATCCTTCTAAACTATAAACTGGCCATGTCTTACTTACAACCCAAAATAAATCCATGCTGTCCATCCTGGGACTCCCTGCTCAGTTCACGGGGCTTTGTTCTTGCAGACTTTTCCAGGTGAGTTATAATTATAAGCTTACCCAAAATAACTAAGTGAGTACTTTCTCTGCAGTGTCTCATCAAATCCTCACTACAGCCACAGGAAGCAGGCATTCTTTTTCATTAACTACTTTGCAACTGAGGCAATTAAAATGCAGAATGTTAAGAAACTTCCAAGGTCATAAATTTGATAAGAAGCATGGCCAAGCTTCAAGCTCAGGGCTACTGGTTACCAAAGGCCATTCTCATCACCACTTTGCTAGCCCCTCTCCAAACTCTCTCTGCTAACCAGGCATTGCAAATGAATCACCATTTCCCAAAGCCACCACATGTAGTATCACACCTGCACCTCCACACACATCATTCCTTCTGCCAGAAAAATGTCCTTAAGATACTAGCCCCTATTTCAATCTGTACCCTCTCTTATCAGGCAAGACTGCCATGCTTATGATCACCAAAATACACTTCAATGAAGAATAAAAGGCAAGGTACAGAATAGTATATATAGCATGATATCATTTAAAAGTGGATGCAATGTCAATACACTAGCTTGTGGATAGAACAGAACTGTTGACACAGGGTGTCTCAGGGAAGAGAACTGGGAGGCTGGGGGAAGAAAGTGGAAGCTTGTCAATATACGTCCTTTTGTTTCTTTTGAACTGTGTGCATATATTATCTATTATATATTATCTATTCAAGATGAATAGAACTAAAGTTTAGCAAAAAGGAAAATATATTCCATGAGCTTAATAAAAAATCCCACCAGTCCTCCCAGGTAGAGCCTGGAACACCCCTGTCCAGGCTGAACCACTGCACTTTCTTCCCCCTTAGTTCTACCCATTAGTCTGTGTTCCGGGAGGGCAGGGCCCGGGGCTAGGCTCAGCTCAGGACCCCAGCACAAGACCAGGACAGGTCACAGGGAGAGTTTGGGAGGGAATTCACCTGACAGCCTCTTGACAACCTGCTCGGGACTCCTACAGATGCGCCAGTGGGCTAAGGCCCCCACATCTAGGAGCAGGCACCTGAGGCCCAGTGTAAGGCCAGGTCAGGCTCTGCTTTGGGGAGTGGCAGAGAAGCATCTGATAGAAGGGCCTGCCCAAGGCCACTGCAGAACGTACTGGTTGGCTCCCAGGGGGAACTGAGATTCTCTGCACTATCTGAGGTCAAGTAAACCAGAAGTGGCAGGAGTTTGGCTTCGGCCCTCAAGATGCCTGTCCTCTCCCAGTGGCCTTCCATAGCCTGATTGCTCCCAATCTGCTCACCTCCACTTCCTCCGACTGCCTCAGGAGGTCGCACGGTGGTTGCAAGGCCTTTGGCCGGTGAGTGAACCAATAGGCGAGGATGGCAGCCAGGGCACCCATACTCACGAGGGTGGTGGCTGAAAGGCTGCGGAAAAACTGGCCCAAGTCACCCAGCTCAGGCAGCCGCAGCATCCTTAGGATCTCCTGTGTCTGCATCTTCTCCAGAAGTGAGAGGACAAACTCTGCAGGAAACAGTAGGTGCTGTGAGGGAGGAGACCTCAGCAGGCAGGCTAGGGAAGGGATCCTGGGCCTTTCCTCTCATCTCTCCTGGATCATGGGTGACACACTGGTCTTGGCCATGCCTTGGCCAAAAATACCATAGGGCAGGATATACCAAATATGCCACCTGGGCTAGCCAAGGTGTGAAATCTCCTGATGTGATACAGTGTGTGGGCTCCAGGCCACCATGCACCACCGACAGGCACCCTCATCTCAGGCCCTCAGCCTTTGTAAGCATGGCTATGGCTTCCCTTTTTGGAAACAAGGAAGAACACAACAGTGGCAACTCTGCAGCTATACCTAGGATATGAGCCAAACAGCAATTGCTTGACCCCTAATGGAGGAGAGATCTGCTGAAATCCCAATAAATGGTATTTGTGCTAAATTTGTAACATCACCACACAAGAGATGAGATCACTGATAAGCAAAGTCATTAGAGAGAGAGAGAAAAAAGTAAAGCTCCTTGGATCAAATCTTTTCTCTTTCATTTATAAGCTATACAAAGTTGAGCATACCACACCTTTCTGAACCTTTGCTTCCCCATCCATAAATGGGGGTAGTACCATTCAGCAAGTAAGGGTCCTTACACTGCACCTGGCATGACAGGGCTGAAGAGATGGTTAAGGGATGTGCTTGTCAGAAAAAGGTGGCTTCTCAGACTAGGGAATAAGAAAGGGGCCAGAGGCAGGTGTGGCCCTGACCAGGCCCAATACTGGGCAGAGGCAGCTGGGTCCTGGCACTGGGGTCTCACAGAAGGGTTTATGTTCTATAGATGGTTTGGCGCTATCTGAGTCCCAGGAATACTCACCTACCACCCTAGGCTCTGAGTGCTCTGTGTGGAGCAGTGAAAGTGAATACCCAGACAGCCGGAGCATAATTCTCACTGAGCTTATTGAGCCAGAAATCCAATTTTCCCAGCAGTCTCCTTTTGCTTGGTCAGTCATGAGGCCATCACACAAGAATGACCCACCCTGGGCATATTGATCAAATTAAGATTCTACATCAGCAAATCAGAGGCACAGCTATGGGCCACAGTTAATCTACCAAAGAAAATCTTGAGGAGGACTCCGGGAAGGCAGCCAGTCTGCCTCCCTGAGACACTTACTTCCCTAAGCTGTAGATGGGGAGATAAAGTCACAGCCAGGTCTATCAGATAAATGACACTACACAGTGGAAAATCCAAACACACCTATCAGATCTTGGTGGGGGCCCTGAACTGTTGTCCTCTCCTTTAACAGGCTGAACTGACTCAATGCGCTGAGAAGCTGAGGCCCAGGAAGGCCTTGCCCAACCCCTAAGTGGTTAGCTATGTGGTCCCAAAAGTTTTAGAGAGAAATCTAGAATGATACATCACTATTACCACATTGGAAACTGCTCGCAGACCTTAAGCTGCAATAGAAAATGGGCACTGCTAAATTTGGTATAATGTTGGGGTTTTTCACAGAACACTGTCCAATATGACTGGCCCACCACCCATCCATCCTCATGCAGTCCCTTCTCTGACCTAGTCCAGCACTGGGCACGAGAACAAGCCAGATGTGAGCCTGCCCTCAGTCCCACAGGGGAGACACAGAGAGAGCAGGCAGGGTCTGTGCAGTGTGGGCTAGGCTGTGATTAGGCACAGGGAGTCAAGGCAGGCTTCTGGCAGGAAGTGATATCAATGCTGAGACTGAGGGATAAGAAGAACGGGTACCACAGGCAAACGGAACCAAATATACAAAGGCTAGAGTTTGTTTTGGTTTTCTGAGAGTTGACAAAGAGCAGGAAGCACTTAGGAAATGGAATATTGTATTCAGGAAATAATGTCATGATTCTGAAAAATAGAGTACAGCTGTCAGTGCCACAAGTCTGTGAGGGTGGTTTCTTGGATGTGCTGAGCATTCAGTAGTCACTAAAGTATCACAATGCTTAGTCGAGGAAAGAACAAGACTTGTCTAAACTTCCTGAATTCCTGATGTCTGGGAATACCTTGATGGCACATCATGCTGTTTGATCCTCACAATAGCTCCTTGTACTAATTGGATTATTAGCATTATGGGAACACAGTAAGGGAATGTGGAGCCAGGACTCAAACCTCAGATTAGTACCTCCAAAGCCATTCCCTTGTGTTGTACCATGGTCACCCCAACCCTGCCAACACTGATCCCAGATCCACAGACCATCATCTCCTTTGCATTAGCCCTGAACCCACAGAGGTCCAGATCTTCTCAGAATAGCCTAGGTGAGGTTCTGAGGGGTACAGCAGCACTGGGGCACAACCGATTTTAAGTAGGGGTTAGACAGTCAGGTTAGTTGTTCATACACACACCAATGGTTGGTTCCCTCTCACAAGAACTCTCCATCTTCTCAGGGCTGGGGCCTGCTCCTCCATTAAGCCCACCAGCCTGGGGCAATGGAGGACAGTGGGAAAAGGGCTTTGCTGCTCACTCCTCCTCAGGCTCCTACTTAGGTGCCCACATCTAAAGAGGTTTCTAAAGTGGCTACAGCCCCTCTGGCCCTGAGAATGGGCCTGCATTGCCTCTTTGGCTGGGTGGTGACCACACAGTCTCATTTTTCCAGAATCACTGACCCTCTCAGAGTTAGGACTGCTTGCATTTACTCTGCAATTCCCTTCAGACCCAGGAGCCACTACAGAACAGAGTTGTGAATTGAGGTCCTCTGAGGACACTGGCCTCAAAGCCAGCCTGTACCATTAAACATTTGGCATGGTGCAGGGTAGAGCCCTGTGTGTCTGGTATTACCTCATGATTTCACAGGGCCTTGGCCTTCCCTGACCTCTCTACTCTCTGTTGACCTGGCGTGAGGCTCAGTGGTCCCTGGGGTCTGGAACATGGCTGCCTCCTCCTTTCCCCAGGAGGCTCTCCTGGTTGTAACAGTGTGGGGATAGAGGGGCACCCAAAGGAATCAGCAGTGCTGGTGTTGCCAGGTGAGCAGCTATGAGTGTTTGTAAATACTTACCTGGCAGGAGGACCCAGCCCTCAGCATGAAATAGCTTCCTCTCCTCCTGGCACATCCTATGCCCCCTTTGCTGCTGGCACAGATCAATTCAGAATACCAGGTGGTGGCACAGACTAAGGGGACTGGGACTTCCCCCTACCTTACCATACCTTCTGTTGACTCAGGGGACATGGAGGGTGGGTGGTGAGAGCCATAGTTCTCCAAATCCAAGATAGGAGAGAAAGCAAGGAGGAAGCCTGGTGGAAGACATGTTAGCAGGTGGCAGAAGCAAAGGCCCTGAGCACATTTTCTGTGGAAATGACTCTGGAACCCCTGGCCAGGCTCAAAGAACTGTCTGCTGGTCCAACCTCCTAACTCCACACTCCAGACCTTCAAAATCAAGCTAGATGGCTCTGCAGGATTACCTCCTAAACATCTCTCAACATCTCATCACTCCCCTCCACCTCCACAGCCCCTGGCTTGATCCAGCCACCACCAAGTGTGACAAAGAGCAGAAAACTTAGGATTTGGAATATTCTATTCAGGAAATAATGTCTTGAGCCCACACCAGCCTCCTTACAGGTCTCCTTGCTCTAATTTGTGCTTACACTCATATCGAACTTACTTTCTTAATGAATAGATGTGACCACATCATGCCACCACTCAAAACTTTCATCTGTCTCCCTACTGCCTTAAGACAAAAGTCTATTCATGCTGGCACTAAGGCCCTCCATGATCCTCAGATTCTTCCCTCCCCTTAGAATCACATCAGCCTCTCTCTGCATCAGCAGTTTCAGGGCCTCTGCAAACCTCTGAGGCTTTCAGAGATGGTGGGGAGGCACAAGGCAAGACACCAAATCATCAAACAACCTCCCCAGCTCTCAATGAAGATCACACACACACACACAAATCCCAATCCCTCCCAGGGCCCAGGACCCAGGGACCCTAATAAACTAGCCAAGGAAATGGCCATAAGAAGAATTCTGGTGCTAGACTGACCTGGGTTCGAATCCTGACTCAGACTCTTGATAGCTGTATGACCTTGGGCAAGACACTTTGCCCCTCAGGGCCACATCTCAAACAAACTCATAGACACTGGCTGACTGGATGCAGTACTAGATGCATAGTAAGGGAAACATTCAGTAGACAGCTGTAGCAGTTACTCCACCTCTTTGCCAGCAAGAGGGCTCAAAGACAACTTGCAAAAGTAGATGCAATCACATCCTACCTTTTCAGTGGGCTCCTGGCACTGGGGAGGTGCCTGAGCTGGTCCCGATAGAACCAGCCTCCTTTATACGGCCTGTAGGGCTCAGGGAGAGAGGTTACCACATCTTGATCAAGGCTATGCGCCAAGTCTACCCTCCTGGGGACAGCCGATGGCAACAGCCACCTGTTCTGAGAAGCCAGGTGGTGGTGGAAGCAGTAGCAGTGGTGGCAGAGGCTCCCTGGTGGCTGTGGGAGCAGGTCTGGCAGGGACCAGGATGCAGAGCAGTTCTGTAAGGAGCTCCTGGCCCCTCAAGGCCCCCCCCCCCCCCCCATTTGCACACTGGCGGTGCTGGCTCAGATCAGCTCAGAGCCAAGCAACTCAACCTTAACCCTCACTCTGCCAGGTTGCCTGAGCCGCAGCTCACACCCCTCTGCTTCTCTCTGCCAAGCCTGTCTCTCAGTCCTGGAGAGGAGTTTGCCAAATGAGTTGCTTAAGGACAAAGCCTCCTTACATATCCATCTATGACACCCATTAGGGGCAAGGCCTGGGGACCTGCACCCGGTGTGCATGGTAGGGTAATAGAAATAAGGCTTGGGATGTCAGTGAAGGGGGCCTGCACTATTTACCAGGAGATGCCACCTCTCACCCTCTCCCAAGGAAGCCTGTGCTCCCAACCCCCACAAGTTCACACCAGTCTACTCTGGGAGAAGAAGGAAACTGGGCACAGCCCCAGATAAAGCAACTGCTCAGGGATGCTCTGAGAGCTGGGGACTCCCCAGACTAAGGATCATGGTCAGCAAGTGGAAGATATTTACTCCC